TTTAATTTTTTTATGAAAAATACCCACTGTGTCCCTGCACGAAATAGGTGCCAATTTAAATTGAAAACTGATCAAACAGGGCATTATTCGGTTGAGGAGCGAAGACGGTTTAAAACCTTCCGGCTGCGAGTACGGTTTCTGAATCCTTATAATGTCATCTATGGAAAAAATCGATAGTTTGTAAGAGGTTGTAGGTAACAAAAAATCTGAAAAATAAGCAAGACTCTACTATATTTCTGAGGAAAGAGAGTGTTCCGGTAAAATGACGTAGGTGCCCTCATTTCATTTCTGCTATTTCAATTGATTGGAGCTTGAAAAGTGTAGTCTAACTTTATCTTTCATATCGAATGTTATGAAGGAATGAAATTCCGAGCCTCTTTCCATGAAGCCCATCGTGATGTAGCTTCTACCATTTAAATTATATTCGGTCCCACCACATCACACGGAAGCTGTACTCACAAAAATCTTGATTTAATGTTTGGAATCCGCATCTCTCTCAATTCTGTCAGGGCGATAAATGTTCTTTAATAAATAATACGAGAGACAAAGAAATAAGGAATTTATAAATAATGCCAAGGCAAAGAAGAACCAATTTCTTTAAAAAAAATCAAGGCGACAATTCTGTCGTGCTAAGGAAAAACGCGATATAAACATCCAAAAGTTGCCAAACTTCCTTCGAAAAAGTGTTTAATTTTGAAGAGAGTTTTAGATATTTTCCCTTGAAATTTCCAGATGCTTCGATCGAATTACCAAAAGAATTCTCAGAAAATTTGAGCGGAATTTACTCACAATTTTTCCTGGGAATTCGTATTTCATCGAGGGAACTTTGGCGACGGACGAAAGTTCATACGGCGTTTCCCCTTAGTGCGGCAGAATTGTGGTCCACAATCTTCCCTGATTCATACCGTATGAGGTTCATCGCCGCCAGGGACGAAAAAACGCATTCGTATCATCCCCTAAATACCGCTTTAATGGTTGGATCCGGCTGCGATGGAAAGAAAGTCGAGAAGTGAGGGAGCGAAAAGTTGGGGGGAACATTAATACGTGTCCTGATTGTTTTTTGTTTTTATGACTGCGGCAGGAGAGTGCGCGACTATTACTCATCTTGACGAGAGAGCGTTGCCTCAACGTCATCCTCCTTACAAAAACGGAAGATGCAGGATGGGAAAGAAGTCTCTAGTACCTACCCCCACTAACCTCGCGTGCTAAGGATAAAACCCGTATCAACATAAGGACGTAGTCGAATTTCCCTTGTTTAAATGGAGTGCGTTTAGCAGAAAGGGACCAAGCCACATCAGCTATTGCCAAATTTAGTTTTTTTACAAGAGAACGTTTGTGCGGGTTTCTTTGAAAGTTTCAGGTAATTTGCTTCGCACTATGCAAAAAATTCACTGAAAGTTTCACAAAAATCCGCACCACCGTTTTCATGTTGAAATTAAATTTCCCATTTAAGTTTGGCAGTAGCTGATGAGGCTTGGTTCCTTTCTGTTTGAGGCGGTCCAAATGCAGGTTTCCTCGAAAATCAGTGGATAAATATTTATTTTTGTTTCTTCCTTTGAAGTTCCGCAGGTGGTTGAATCTTACTGAATCACAAAATTTCGCGGAAAAATATTCTTCATTTTCTTTAAAAAAGAAAAAAAGCACTTTATCGCGGGAAATCTGGCAAAATTCTCATGCAGCGTAATCAACACAGCAGTAACCTTTCGTGACCTTACTTTCTAACTTTTTCACGACCATCGCATCGTAGCCCTCACTCACCTTACAGCAGGCAGGGTCTCCAAAAGAGGTGGCATAATTAAAAAAGAAGTAATGAAGGATTGGAAATTATTCTGCGATATTTCATGGAATTTCTTAGTTGAATTTTCAAAAATGCATGTAACTCCAATATTTTTCTCTTCACATCTCGCATGAGACACAAGTAATAAAAATTAGTAAAATGATACCTTCAAACAATATTGGAAACGTTGCGATAAAAATACTTTGCGCGGGCTAGTAATAAAAAATGCGCCAAAGATGGGTTTTTCGTCATAATTCAAACATATCTAAAATATCACGTAAACGTTCAAATTTCCAAATTCAACTTTTCATGAAATGTTGCTACCCTGCCTTTAACAGACCTACTAAGTGGTATCAGAATTAGACACCGATGACTACTTCGATTTTTACTGGTACTTTTCGGCACTGTCTTTCCATCAACACTCCTCCCCAAAACCCAAGCTGGAAAAGCTTGAGCTTTTTCAGCCTGCTTTTTAACCTCACCCTCTTTGAGCACTCTAATTTGAATGCTTGTGATACCGCCTGACTCCCTCTGCCCGTTTACAATTTTATCAAATTCGAATTTCCCAGAAGGACTTGTGAAGAGGGGGAAGGGGGAGGATAAAAGTTGGGTAATAACCCCGCCCAACCCCTCGAATTCTTGAGGAGTCGCGGCGGGTGAAACTTTTTGGCATGCTCTGCTGGCGAGATAAAAGGAAAGACATATTTCCAGGTAATTTTAATGAGGAGCTCACGGATAATTGGCAAACACGCTAAACGGAGCTTTTTAAAACTTTCGGCTTATTTATTACTATCCGCTCTGCCGACTTGCGCTGCCGACTTCGAAAATAAGTTTTCCCCCGCGAATTTGAAACTTTGATTAATTATTAGCAATTCAAAATATATTCTTTCGTGTGATGTTTTGTTCCGTCAGTGCTCGCTCACTCCGAGTTTGACTTCTTCTTGTGACGCAAATGTTGCGCTTTGTGGCATTTTAATTGTATTTCCGAAACAAAGATCTCTTACAATGCCTTAGTGGTTTATTTCTGCAATTTGCTGAACACTTAATTTCTTACTGAATTAAGAGTTCTTTTGAGGATTTACATTCCACGGATTTTACGTTACTGTACGCAGAGAAAAATTTCAACACAAAAATTGGTTAGTGCGGGAAGTAAAACCCAAAATAACCCCCCTTCGGTTGACAATTTCAAGAGGAAATGCTACTCAGTTTTCTAGAAGAAATAATAACTACTTAGTTTTCTTGAAGAAATAATAACTACTTAGTTTTCTTGAAGAAATAATAACTACTTAGTTTTCTTGAAGAAATAATAACTACTTAGTTTTCTTGAAGAAATGATAAAAACAAGGGATGAAAACCAACTTCGCAATCGGAGGAACGCTTTTCCCAGTTTCTCCAATTGTTTTCTGCGCTAAAGTCACCGCAAACTTAACCAGAATCGACAGTAAATGTGTGTTACTTCCTGTATTAACCAAAAGTAACACAAGAACACACATTTTGTCATCAGTGTATGTGATTTCAACAAACGTTGGTTCTTATGTTACAAATGATTAATTGAAAGAAACAGATTTTGAAGATTTATTACACCGAAGAATTGAATGAAATATCGAGTAATGGTGAAAAAATGGCTTTCCCTTAATTGTGTATAACGCAAATCCGAACACAATCTCATTTCTCTTTCGACAATCACTTTTTATGCGTGTACATGAATTAGAAGCCGGGAGCATCCAACTTCATGATAGGGATTGGAATTTGTAAGAAATAAAACGAAAATTTATTTTTTCGAGTCCGCATTTAAGACTTAATAATTCATACTTTATGCCAACGCTTGCATGGATTTGGGAGTCCTGAATAATTCATGGATGAAGAACGGGGAAAAAACGAGAAAGAACGCGAAAAAAGTGAATGAATGAGGAGGAGAGTAAACAATTTTAGCAGGAGAAATGTTTTCAGAGTTTTAGACTCAGCGTTTCAGTGCAAGGAATACACCCGTTCACGGCTGCAGCCAAAACGGCGGTGTTGCCACTTTTTGCGTGAACTTATAAACTCTCAATCTGACTGAGGGCATCCATGAGATGGGCTGAAAGAAAAATCCCTACATTGCAACATTCAGAAAGGAAGATAACATCAATATTATCATAAATTGAACGTAGGGACTGGAAAACATTTCATCTGGATGGAATGCTGCACAAAGGAAAACGCCTCTCGTTGCTAGCTTTTATTTATGTTTTCAATTAATATTACTCCATTGTTTACGCAAAATTCACTTACTTTGCCAAACACTATCTCTGCACGAGTACAAAGCGTCTTCAAATTCGCATGCTTCAGGATTTCTAACTCCGTCGGAATTTGTTTTTCTTCCTCTATGACTATCAAGATTGCTTCCAGCACTCGCACAAGATTCAGAAAGAGTCCGCATTAACACATGGCCGGATCCAGTGTTCTGCCTTTCCGGGACGTCATGCGCCAAATGCGCCTAAAAACCGGGCCTTGGCGCCTAAAAATTGGGGGGGGGGGCTAAAAATTTGGCAGATTGAACTCAAAATCGGGAAGTAGCGGTAGAAATAAAGCGCTCTCTATACGCACCATTCGCAACATTGCCATGGCCCGTATGCAAAAATTTAATTTAGTTCCTAAAGAATAATAGATAGCCCCTAAAAATTGGGCTTTCCGGCCTAGGTGGCGCCTAAAATTTTAGGGGGAAGACAGAACACTGGCCGGATCTGTGAAAAAGGGGGGAAAAGGGCATCATGAAGAAATAGAGGAAAATTCTCTCAAAATCCAAGGGCTCCTATTCACAAATCCGATCAGATATACTTTTCCAAGTAGTTTTGCATTTACCGAAAAATGCCACACGCACGTTTGAACGTTGCAAAATTTATCCGGTAAAAAGTGTAATTTTGAGGAAATCCTCTCTATTCTAATGAAGTCATTTTCAAGGCGGTCGATGGACAGGGTGAGGAAGGGGAGAAAGACGGTCGATGGGCGGGGGTGAGGAAGAGAAGTTCAAGGGCCGTAAGTGAGAAAGTCCTCGGTGGCCTGCGAAACGCGCCTTAGAGGGCGCGCAGCGCCCCGGGGGTTGGGCCGCGTGGCGGCCAGGGTTTGCCCTAGTTGTAAATATTTTTCATTCAAATTTTCAGACGTTATAGATGAGGTTGCAAGTGAGATTTTCTTAAAAAATCAAAGTGGAAAAGAGTAAGGAGAGTGATTGAGAGGGTAGACCTACCTAATTTGACATCGGAGTTTGAGCCGTAGGACGAAATTGACGATGAAGGAGACGAGTGTGAGTGCGAATGGGAGGCCGAGACCTCCCGTCGACTTCGCTTGTACCGAGCCTGAGTGCCCCCGTTTTGTTTCTTCGTGTAGTGGTTCCCGCGCAGGGTCAAGCGGGGGCTTGTACTAACGTTGTTTTGATATTGTGCCGAGGATTCTGCAACAAAGAAAATTATGAAATCGTGAAAAATGTAAGTCCAAAATCGTAAAGTAAATAAAAATTGAGGTTTGTATATAGTGAGATCCTATGTATACCTATGTATTCCGATCTCCTTAGACCGGGTTTTTTTTTNTTTTGTGCGCAACCGTTATCGGTACGAAAAGTGTGCGCAAGTGTCGTGCAGCCACTAGTTTTTGTTGTTGTAGTGTTGTCTTTCATTCAAATTTTCAGACGTTATAGATGAGGTTGCAAGTGAGATTTTCTTAAAAAATCAAAGTGGAAAAGAGTAAGGAGAGTGATCGAGAGGGTAGACCTACCTAATTTGACATCGGAGTTTGAGCCGTAGGACGAAATTGACGATGAAGGAGACGAGTGTGAGTGCGAATGAGAGGCCGACACCTCCCGCCGACTTCGCTTGTACCGAGCCTGAGTGCCCCCGTTTTGTTTCTTCGTGTAGTGGTTCCCGCGCAGGGTCAAGCGAGGGCTTGTACTAACGTTGTTTTGATATTGTGCCGAGGATTCTGCAACAAAGAAAATTATGAAATCGTGAAAAATGTAAGTCCAAAATCGTAAAGTAAATAAAAATTGAGGTTTGTATATAGTGAGATCCTATGTATACCTATGTATTCCGATCTCCTTAGACCGGGTTTTTTTTTAACATCTTTTTCATTTTGATAAAAAGCAAACTACAAATCTTGCTTACAAAATTGCCAAACATGATTAATCAACCAACCAATCGTCTATTCTCTCTTATTCAACATTGTTTTATATTATTATGCGTTGAAACGATAGGCACGAATTCTTGTTTTCTTCGGAAAGTGCCCAAGTCCAAGGTTAAAAATTGTGCATATTGTTTTATAAAATTACAAAAAAATTCAATTTTTGGAGGGAGGTGTCTTTTTAGGAACTAAATACAATGCAACAACAACTTTTCGCATTCACAGACTATTTTCAGGTGAATTCAATTTTTTCCCATTTGGGGATTTTTCCCCTCCCCCAAAGTTCGGCACTTTTCGAACAAGCTACTCAATTCGTGCAAAGTTTGTCCGCCTAGATGGTACCTTGACGGCAGTGGAATTCATTTTGAGCAACTTGGCAGGAATTCCACTTCCATTTCCAGGGATCCCCGTCTCTCAAATCCGCGATTCAACGGGGACGTTCAAGCCTTTGAAGTGATTCGTGCTGTGCGTGCTGGAATCCGATGATCGAATTCAACAAGACTTGAATAAATCTCTCTTTTTTTCGCGGCAGAGTCGCAATGAAAAGAATTACCTTAATAAGTGAAGGACCTCAAAGTAGTGCAATTTTATTTTTGTACGGCGACGAGAAGAGAAGTTTTAAAAAGTTTCAAAGTACTTCAACCATCATTCATTTTCAGAGGAGACCGTTCCAAATCGCTCTTGATTTTTCAACCAAAACGGATTAAAAAAAAAAATATAACAAAAAATAGTGCGTCCCTTCATTTCAACTAATAATGGGCAATTTGAGCTACTGCGAAATTAGACGAATTGGACCTCATTCTGCAATTAGGAACTACAATATCTAACTGATTTGTAAAAGCACTTGTCTGCATATGGAAACTAATGGCTCATACGATGTTTCAAAAGTAAGCTGAAAATTTTAGTTCCTAATTGCAAAATGTAGTTAAATTGTTGTGCACATTCTTTTCTTGGCGCGGCTATCCAAAATAAATTATAAAGAGGAAAAGTATGGGTAACCTATTTGCTGATTATGAGAACCGCATACATGCGCCATTTGCACAAAAGTTTTCCGAGCTAAGTCAACGATACTAGTTTTGCAATTAATGCAATAAAATAAATCCTCCCGATAAAATGTTGACAATCGATTCATCAACTATACCACACAGTAGAGACGCTAGGTCCATACGGTTCGGACTCAGAGCACATACCCTAAAGTAATATTTGTTCGTACTAAAATGAACTCTATCTCTATTCATAGGTCGGCATCAAATTTTTAACAGTTTGTATGTGACCCCGACCCATAATTTATAAAGAGTGAGCGCATACACTTTTTTTAGGACTCATCAAAATATGTTACTTATAGAGATCAGCGCACAGCGAGTCAATTTTGATTAAAATGGCTCCCGTATTTCAGTATGGTATTTTGCGGGCCGTTTTTTATCATAGAGCGCACAAAGCACTTAACGATCCGAAAATAAGTACATCCAACTACGTGCTACTGTTCTAAAGTTCTAATCCCTTATCAGATGCAACGGAACACAATGGACCGAATCCGTGGGAGAAGTCGGACATGAATTTTTAGACTACGAGCACAAATTTAGATGTTAATTTTGTCAAATTTTAAATTTTGAGGGGTGATTCTTAGAGAAAATTTTACGAGAAAACCAATGGGACCATTTTGAAGACCTCAAGATTTTGTAAAAACGGAGTTAGGAGCTTTTAAAGTTTTAAATGTTGTCCAACATCTCTTATTGACTCGATCCACTGTGCGGAGAGGGGGATGGGGGAGATGCTGGTGTTCGAGCATGACTCATCACCTGCTCAAGTGCATACATATTTACTCACCTAATAGGCAATCTGGAATGACTCTGGAGAGTCATAAGCTACACCCCCAGGATAATTGAAAACACAATACACTTCCCGAAACAAAGGCCCGAGGCGAAAATTCGAAAATTCAAGGGAGCGAATTTGACCTACAATGATGTATCTCGGTGTCTATCGAACCGATTTGAGTGAAACTTGGTATCAAAAATAAATCAACCAAAAATGAAGAGGAAAAAGACCTATCTTGATAATTAATCCAATCAACAACATACATCCTTATGAATAAACTATATTAAATAACCAGTTTGGTTTGTCGACAAACCAAACTGGTGCAGTCAACACAATTTATCGCGAATGCGTGCTTCGATGTTAGGTAACATCTGCCATCTTAAATGTTTTAATCATAAAAATCTGACCAAATTTTTCCGTTGAAATGTAACTTCTCAGTCACTTGACTCATATTTCAAACAGACTGTCTAATTCTCTCATCTAAGCAGATATTTCGGGGATGCATTAAGTCTGCAGGATCATTATTTCGTTTCCCAGAGTTACCGGAGTTACAGGTGCGGTTGAGACTTGAAATGTTTTTCAACAAATTGGATGATTCAAAATTACAGAGAACTCACCTAACGTATAGTGTCTACCAGGACTCCGCGTCCGAAGATATTCGTAATTGGTAGACATATCCGACGAAAGATCAGCCACGTTCTCAAAATCAAACGAGTCTTGCCCTGTGAACAAACACAACCAAAAACACAATCAAAGTCTGATTTCAATGTTTGGATAGTTGCTGCATAATATAAAAGTCAAAGTGTCTAATTCACTCCAGAAATGGACAATGAATATATTTTTACTTGAAAATTGCCCTTTCCTGAGAGACCTAATCAAGGGCTGACACAATTCATACGATTAGGCGTCGCTAACACTACGTGTTCGAGTTCGGGTGCCTGACTCTCAAGATGAAACGACTTAAAAAACACTGAAGAGGCAGGACATTTCGAGTTTTCTAAAGCCTATTTCCAGCTGCTTAAAACAAAACAAAAAAGATATTGACCCTGAGTTGCTCAAGCCAGGTCAATTTGACACGAGGCTTGCTAAAACACCTGACCCGCGCGTTGTATGGAACCGGTACATACAACCTTCAAAGATACAGGTCTACAAAAACATCGCATAACGATAATAAGACGCAAAATTGAACTGAATCACGTATTGAGGAGTAAGAAATCTCAGGCCGAGAAAAACTGACTCGACTATCTCTTCTGGGGGAGTTATGGTGCCGGAAAATATGAGCTTCAGATGAAGAATTACAAATACACCCCAAAATAGAATTATACGCTAAATTAAGGGAGGGGGGGGTTGAGTTTTAACACAGACAAAGGTAAGAGAGACGTAATTAAGCCTCGTTTTTTAGCGTTTCTTCGCTATACGAGCGACACCTCATTGGCAGCATGGATCGGAGCATTGCGAGTTCACGCCTCGCGCTAGCGCGCCTTCAATTTTGCAGATGCAACACGGACATCCATCGAGCACGAATAGTTGTATCTCTGCGCCGTCAACAACGCGAGTCCGTTCCCTTGCTCTATTTCCATATTCTGCCGTCCACAATAAAAACGCCGTATCTCTATTCAACACTTTTCAATTTCTTCCTGACATTATGCTGTTTTACGAAAAACCTAACAGAAGTTCATCCTTCATTTTTTCAATAAAACTCCCCCACACCATTTGGATCTAAAAATAAAAAAATGAGTCCTTAGGGCAATTGCATTGTCTTAAGATGCCGTGCTAAGGAAAAACGCCGCAAGAATATTCGAGCGTTACCAAATTTCCTTCGATAAAATGCTTATTTTTGAGTAAAATTATGAATATTTTCCCTTGAAATCTTCGGGAACTTTAAGTAAAATTGCGAACAAAATTATCTGAAAAAGTGGAAGAAAATATTTATAAATTTTTTCACAAATTAGTGATTAACCAAAGGAAATTTGTCAACGCGTTAAGGTTCATACGGCGTGTTTACTTAGAACGGCAGTGTAATAGAGCAGTGCGTGCTGGAAAAATAAAACCAGTTTGACGGGAATTATGACGTTTTTGGTGTGGACGGCAGTATTGTGTTCGCTTCCGTTTGTCTTAAGTGTAATGGTACCCGATTTCGGCCTTTGACAACACTCCTCGTCTTGTTTAAAATTTTCGAATGATGTCACATATTTATCCATCAGTCTCCCTAAAACATCCAGGATTGCTAGTTGAACAACGCCTACTGCTAAGTCAAATCATTTTTCACTAGCTCGAGACAACATATTTCACGATTCATTGACTGTGGTTTAATTCGCGTTGTGCACTCGTGAGGTGGTCTACGAAATTACGAAATGTTAATTACGCGTATGGGAATTACTCTTGAAGTAACCAGAGATGTCTGGTTAGGGCTGGCGCGACGCCAACCTGAATTTTCACCCATCTATCTCGCCACCATCTCACGCTTCACACCAAGCGCACAGTGGGGGGTGGTGGACCTGGCCAAGCGTATTCCTTTTTACGAGCCATCTTTACGATTTTGGAGATCGAGTAGTTTGGTTGTATTTTATAAACGCTCAAAGTAAAAACTAATTTTCTGCAACACGTACCCTTATTGCTCAGGGCAGGGTAGAAAATGAACGGGAACATCAAAATTCCCGGACTTTTCCCTGAATCTTCGAAAAAAAAGAGAAAATTTCTTAACTGATTTTGAAAAGGTGAACCTGGCGCTGCTACATCCATAAAAGACTAGAGACATATTTTTTTAGTGAATCTTGAGAATTTTACTACTTACAATTTTCTGGTTAGCTTTTTAAGATACTCAACTCTTTTTTAGTAACTCCACTATTGGGAAACTGTTATTTTTCGAAGGACTACCATCTTGGGGATGATTTATTAGAGTTGTGAAAAATAAATACTGGATTCGTATTTAGCGCTCCAAAAACCCCGGTTAGATAAATATCCTTGAGTCTCACCTCATGACCTCGCATTCATATACTGGAAAAAATAACCCCACTTCGAGAGACTCGATTCTTATGATTCCTAACGATTGTTAGATAAGGGCACATTAAATATCAGAGGAAAGAGAGGCAGAATAAAAATATGGGGATAAGAAGAAAAAGAAAGGAAAAACCGAAGAAAAAATAAAATGAGAAGAGGAGAAATAATAAGATAAAAACATGAATACAATAGAAGCGAAATAGGAATAAAAAGAATAAAGGGGAGAAATAATATTGATCGAGAATAGGTAGAAAATGTGGAGTATTAATAAGGGGAAGAGGAGGGAAAACGGAGGACATGGTGGACACTTGATGAGAGAAAAATAGGGAGAACATTTTATTTTTCTTAATATTGTTATTCCTTTCTCTCTCTCATCAATACCCATATTTTTCTTCTTCTTTTTCCTCTATTCTTCTTTCTCCTTCCCTTTTTTTCGTCATCCGAACCGAAAGACGAAAACTAGGACTTAAAAGACGCGACGGTCTTTTCGACTTGAGTCCAGGGTTAAACAAGAGGGCTCTCCGGCGGCGTGAAATCCATCGATTAGCCAGTGACAATTCGTCCCGAAAGTTCTTTGATTCTGAGGAATTTTCAGAGGCGTAACGCACTGAACGGCTGAGGGCTTTTCCTATCAAAATGTAAGCAAAGGGAGAATTCACCCACCCAGCGTGTGCAGCAGCGTTCACGACGCAAGTGATAGGAGGAGGAGGAGGGCTTACGCAGGGATCTGGTGGATGATTTTCGGGATGCCACTGAGGAAGTGTTGGAGCACACCACATTGCGCTGATGTCGAGTTGAGTACTCCTTGGTGCGTTCAAAGGCTCAAACAGCCACTAATGCAGCTTAAATAGAATGGGAGCAAGGTAAGCGGAGTACAAAACTGTTCCGTCGACAAAGAAGGGCGACATTTTGCGCTATTTATCACAAATCGTTTGAAATATCAAGTGTGGTACAATAATTTTCACTTTCAGAAAACATGATGGTGAAAATAATCTGAAATTTGTACGCTTCGATACACGACACAATCATAAGAAAAAATTTCATTTTGTAAAATACAATATAATGACAGGTTTTCTTCAAAACTTTCAGAGCGTATGCCATTTAGTAGTCCATTTCATCAATGAACCTGATTGAGGTCTTACGGCTGTTTAATTTTGTTTAAGTCAGTTATATTATTTACCAAACCAAAGATTAAAATTAAATTAAAATTTGAATGGGTGAAATTTGTAAGTTTTTAAGCGTTAATAAGTTGCTCACGCTTCGGTTTCAAAATGAGTCGATGTGGCATCGCACCTTTATGGTGACTCGAGCGATCCCACTGAAGATGTCGATGCAGAACATGAGTGGGAGGAGGGTGAATGAGCTTTCGGAAGAGGGGGCAGGATCTTGAGTCGGGATGTTTGCTCAAGGGTGCGCGTATGAATGCGTTAAGGGTCGCGTTTGCGTATTATACAGCGCGACAACGACAAAATTGAGCTACGTTTCCACAAACAGCGCGCGACAAGGCACAATGAATCGTATTCGATAGTGGTTCGATGTATCGTTTGGTTTAAAACAAAAAACATAGTCATCAACAAAAATTATAGGATGTAAATTAGAAAAACTGAAAAAGAGGGAATCCTTTCTATCCTCTCCATTATAGAAAAATCGATTTCAAGACGGTCGATGGGCTGGGGTGAGGAAGGGAAGTTCAAAGTCCGAAAGTGGGAAAGCCCCCGAAAGCCCGCGAAACGGGCCTTTGGTGCGCGCAGCGCCCCAGGGGTTGACTTTTCCGTAGAAAATTTCAAATTTTAACTTCACACAAAAACCTGGATCGCCATTCACGCACAAAGCAGTCCACAAAACTTTCTTTTTGACACAATTTGGCGATACTAGGCAGAGAATTGAATCATTGTTTTTCTTAATCCGAATGCAAACAATTTTGAGAAATTAGAGGGAAACATTTTACTAACTTATTTTTCATCAGGGATCACTACAATTTTCGCGAAAGACACCAGATAGCAACTTAAGTTTTTTTCATCTTTTGATGGCGAGAAAAAAGTTACCAGCAGCCCGACCACAGACTTTGACTTCCATCGATATTGGGAGAACTCAGTTCCATTCCAATGGAATACCCCATTGAAATGGAACTGAGTTCTACCAATATCGATGGAAGTCAAAAGTCTGTGGTCAGGCTGCAGACGGATGAGGGAGCCGATTTTAAAAATGAGATCCTTGAGAAATATTTTGTGCGGAAACGTCAAGTGCGGAAGATGCATACCGCCGCGCCGCGCCGTTCCAAATAATCATCGTACCTGCCGCATAGTGGATCGAGTCAATTAGAGAGGTCGAACATGGAATTTTTGACTAAAACTGCAAATTTATATGTTCATTTCGTCAGATATGAAATTTCAAGGGTTGTTTTTAGAGGTGAATTTTACGAGGAAACCAATGCAGCCACTTTTAAAACCTCAAACTTTGTATAAACGAAGTTATAAGGTTTTAAAGTTTCCAAATTTTGTCCGACCTCTCCTATTGACTCGACCCACCGACCCACCGTGTGCCGGTCGAGCGGTCAACTCCGCATCGCGCGCCGTTCGTGAAAGCGTGGCTTAAGATGCGTGCCGCCGTGCCGTGCGTGCCCCACAACTTGAGCCCATGAGCCCTCTTCACCTCTTTCGACTAAACTCAATCGGCTTAGGTGAATTCGTAATTGGTGCATTTTGAGGACGGAAGACCCAAACTTTTCCACGATGGTAGAGTCTTTTCATGAACTCCTATCTTATTTGCGACTGGCACAGCCGAACGAAAGGGTAGCACGACGCCTCCGGCACGTACGCATTTCTTTGTTTTGCTCACCAACTGCGAGTCCTTTCCCGAAAAAGGAAAAAACGTCGAAACCAAGCGTTCTCAGTGGCGATTTTGCGAGGTGGCAACATTGTTTTTCTTTCATTTAAATCCATAAAAATTACTTTATTAGGTGAGGCAAGCTGTCTTCCCAAGAATCGATTGTTCCTTACACATTTACATGAAGAAATAACAGGGTCACCAACTTTCACGAATCGCTACTGAGCGGTCTCAGTTTTGAACTTCACTTTTCGCAGGAGAACATTCTGAAAAAGGTGGAAAGCTACTTGAAGACGTTGTCGTTAGAATTTGCTTACAAGACAATTGCGATGGAAAACTAATGGCAAATGGTAATGATAAAATAAACTGTTTCGTTTGTCTAATTCAATCAAAATATGTGGATCATAACGATCGCAGAAAGTCGGTGAATCCCAGTCAAATTCTCAATTATCCATAAAATTGTAGTTTGTTAAAATCACAAGTTATTGGAAAGCAGTAAGACTCGTGTCCTCGGTGAAGAACTTTTACGATAAATATATTGATGGTAGCGTAAGTTATGAAGGCGGAAAAATAGAGAACCTTCTCCCAGCGATTAGGTCACATTTTCCACATTGCATGACTGAATTTCGTGACGAAAGAATCATTACTCGATCACGATGACTTTTCATTAGCATGACATTATCGCGAAATTACCAGGAAAAATATCTGGATACTTGTTACACGGGATGAAAAATAATACTACAAAAAATCTCATTAAAACAAACGCGTGGAACCACTGCAAGAGTGACGCTCAATTTCTTTAATGAGCACCACAAAAAATATTCGGAACTTATGAGGATAGAAAATGAGCTTATAAAAGGACCGGAAACATGGTAGTTGAGCTGTCGCACTCTCAGACATAAGATGAGAGTGTCACAAACTTCTGCTTTTATTGTGATCTTTTCCGTGGTGCTCCTAATTTCCCAAACAAGTGGTTTCAAATACTGGAAGAGGTTGAAAGAAAGCGGTAGAGTATTTTTTTCCTATACTACCTTTTAAAGACCGTTCATGAAATAGGTAACGCTAACTTTAGGATATTTTTATCCCATTCTCTTTGACGCACCCATAATTAGGGTTTAAACCCCCTCCCCTCCTACTAGTAACGATCGAATATCACCCACCGAAAAAGTGAAAAAAATGACCTATACACTGACAATTTCCGTCAAGATAACCTGGGGTCAGTGCTCTCTCCTAGAGAGGTAGGCAATATCGCATCATCTAGATTTGACGTAGGTACCATCTCGAAGCTAGCGATATTTCATCAAACAGAAACGTGTAAAACACAAGTTTCAAATTGCAGATTAGAAGCCCCACACAAGATAATGATCCAAATTATTTTACCCTGCCCCTGTAAAATGCAGGCTTCATATTTTCAAAAATGTTGCAGCTATTCTCAAGGAATTCAATGGAATATTTATGGGAAAGAGGTTGTTCCAAAAACGCCGATTTTGGCCCCCCCCTGGATTCGGCCCAAGCTTTGCTCAGATGTTGTACTAAGTGTCCCCGACGCTTGGGCAAAATTTCAGCCCCCTCGGATAATTAGGGGGGAGGGGGCAGGGGGGCAAAGTTGCAATTTTTTTAAAACTTTAAAAATCGATATCTCGCGAACGGTTTGAGTGTAAGTGTTGCGGTTTGCGCTAAAAAACGTTAAAAAATATTCTCTACAAGAATATTAATGCTGTTTGCAAGGTTGCGTAATTTATCGCGGTCATAAATCGATTTTTTCGATTTTGAAGGTTCGACTTTTTTTNGGTAGAGTATTTTTTTCCTATACTACCTTTTAAAGACCGTTCATGAAATAGGTAACGCTAACTTTAGGATATTTTTATCCCATTCTCTTTGACGCACCCATAATTAGGGTTTAAATCCCCTCCCCTCCTACTAGTAACGATCAAATATCACCCTCCGAAAAAGTGAAAAGAATGACCTATACACTGACAATTTCCGTCAAGATAACCTGGGGTCAGTGCTCTCTCCTAGAGAGGTAGGCAATATCGCATCACCTAGATTTGACGTAGGTACCATCTCGAAGCTAGCGATATTTCATCAAATTTCAGAAACGTGTAAAACACAAGTTTCAAATTGCAGATTAGAAGCCCCACACAAGATAATGATCCAAATTATTTTACCCTGCCCCTATAAAATGCAGGTTTCATATTTTCAAAAATGTTGCAGCTATTCTCAAGGAATTTTATGGAATATTTATGGGAAATTTCCTCTCATTCATGTTCTTTCGTTTTATGCAACCTTGTGCCCAATATTTTGGCCGAAAAAAAAGTGTTAAGGTTCAGCAGAAAAATTCCTGGAGTGTGCAGATTGGGAAAAATTCCCTGGCCTTACTAGATTTCTTAACAATTTTTCCATACAGAGTTTACAGGAACCGTTCACGTACTTCCCACAAGGCATTTTAATCGACTTCTTGACCCCTTTTTTCCTAGTTAGGCATACGTGAGTCAACATCTTACCTCCTTCCTTTTTGAATTGCACGCCCTAATTCGGCCTGAGCTCGTCCCCTTAACTTCTACAAAATATCGAAAAAAGCCCAAAAAATACCTTGATACTACTGCGCCTCCCCCTCTTCCTAGCGAGACCCAGTAAAACAAGCTTATACCTCCCTCGTAAACTTGGTTGACCTCTCATTTTACTTTGTATGGGATTTTTACAGTTTGCAAATGGCACAAAAACGATGCACATACTAACAACAAATGCAAGAGTCACTGCGAGCAAAAATGGAAATTTCCACGGGACGACCACAGCCAAGCGCCGTTCGCAACGGGTTCCTGCTGGTCAAAAAAATGCGTGTGCAAGGTCAGCCAGGAGTATAAAGGCTACGTAAGAGGCTTCGACAAGAAAATGACCATATGTGTTTTTGACAAGGTTTGCAGAAGCGTGTTCGAAAAACTTCAGAAACATTTCCAGACTCACCCTAACGTGCACATTGGGCGGCACACAACGCACACACCTTAGCCTCTGGGCGAAGCGCATCAACGACTTGGCGGTTACTGAGAAACGGCATGCATCCAAACGTTCGAACATTAAACCAATTCGTCGTCCCCGTCACGAAAGAACGTAACCCCATTGCACTGATGCCAAACTCCTCCTCGCAAATTGTAATTTTACTGTAAGAATTTTGAGAATTATTAACTGAGAATTTCGCTGACTTTCCTTTAGATGTCATGCAAAAATCAGACAAATTTTGGATAAAAATTGCACGGGTACACTTGGTAAAATAAATTAATTGTTCGAGTCAATTTGGCAACATTGGAATGGCGTTATGTTCCTTCGTCCGGGAGACGACGAATTATTCTACAATAACATTTATTTTATTTAGAGGAAAAATATCAGTGTTTTCCTCAGAAAATCTATAGGTGCCCGAAAGCCGAATTGGTCGCCCGGAATTCGGTAAAAAATTTCAGGTACGCCAAAAGGTTTCCCCCGAGGCCAATTTTACTTGACCCCTTTTTCCCTAGTTAGGCATCCGTGAGTCAACATCTTACCTCCTTCCTTTTTGAATTGCACGCCCTAATTCGGTCTGAGCTCCTCCCCTCAACTTCTATAAAATACCGGCAAAAAGCCCAAAAAATACCTTGATACAACTGCACCCCCCTTCCTTCCTAGCGAGACCCAATAAAACAGTAAGAAATTTTGACTCAGTTTTGAAGTTCTAAAAAGTGTTCGAAATGGAGGACGTTATCCCAAAAACACGTATAAATATCGAATTCGTTTATTCAGTTTCAGTAATACTACGTTTACTATTGGCGAAAAGCTGTCCGATTCTTAACTTCATATAATGAAATTCCGCACGAAAAATAAAAAATAAAAAAAAACCGTTAAGGACACATACACTATGAAGATACTTTGGATTAAACTAGGAGTAAAATACTTTCCCCAAAAGCGTAAGTTTCCACTATTGCTGGGATATTAGAGAAGTTAAGTCTGTTAATCGTCTCCGTTGTAATCTTATAATAAAAACAATATTCATAAAACATGCAGTGTTACATTATCAGTCTTCTCATAATGTTTGATACCTCTCAAGCGCATTTGGAAACATTTACATGGGTAATTTTTACTACTAATTACCACGGTACGAAAGCACAGATCTCAACTATATTTTATAGCATGAACATATTAAACCAGCCATTTAATTTGTGCAGCAGCCTGATTGTTAAAACTTTAACTGGCTTTGTCGGCAAGATAAAATGAGACATTAACTGGCTTTGTCGGCAAGATAAAATGAGACAAGACATAGCCCTACATGCGTCGCGTAAAATATCGATTTTCGATTCTTGTCGCGCTGACATACATTTCAACGATCAGGCTGGAGAACACCAACTAAGGTCAATCCAAGAGAACCTGAGTTTTAGGTGCGGTATTGTGAGAATTTTAACCGAATGAACTTCCACTGCAAGCTCACGATAAATAGATCAATTGGACTACATTTTGCAATTAGGAACTATAAATTTAGGTTCAGTATAAAAACAACATGTGTACTATTAGATTCCCTAAGCACATAAGTGTTTTTTGGAAGAGCCGTTTTCGTGTATCTCCTCGTGTGTAAGCGTTAGATGCACATTCAGGATCAACACATGGAAGCGCTAATAAGTATCATTTTTTGCTATGCTGCATTCTACATTCAAGCTGCGTGACTACAGCGCACCATGCGCGGAATGCGCAAAATGCGCAAAATGCCAATTTGGTTTCAGGAATTAACGAGTCAGTTTTGCCTGCTGAATCATGAGCAACATTTTCGCGGTTATGTACTTGACGCAAAACGGTTTTAATTAAATTCGTAGACCACAGATGAAAAACTTACGGCTCTCATATAATTATGCAATGGATACTAGTTCCGGAAAATGTTGGGACAATAGTGACAAATAGGTACTTTTTTGTACCGTATTAGGACTTGGGAGGGGGGGAACATATGGGTCTTAATTAAAGACATGAAAGTTAACTGTGACGCAGACTTTCGGGTATGAAAGAGACAAAAAAGTTCTACTTACAGGCATTTATGAACCATCGGTCAAGAAAACAGGGGTAAATGCAACAGTATCATGGACACTTAATGATGTGCCTACGGGTGGAACTATACTTTTTGTAGGGGTGGCAGGGAGGGACTTCATCTGGGGGAGGNGGGGGGGGGGGGGGGGACATAGAATTATACTCGACAAAAAGGAATATTCAATTAGATTAATGTTGGATGATTTGTGAACAAAGACGACCACAGATATAAACTATATGTTGAGTATTTATAGCGTCGAATTTGTCTTGAATCGGTCATAAAGCAATTTATGACTCATAAAACTTAAGGAATTTTTGTTTTGAGGGAGGAACACTCGGACACTATTGACCCTTCCTGCTTGAATTTGACGAGAGTATGTTGTTATTAAGATGGAAAAAAAAAAAAAAAAAAAACATAGTATTATCTAACGTTAACATACAGGGTGATCCAAAAGTCCCTTCCACCCCCTCTAACTTTTTACCTAATTGAGGTAAAGATTTGAAACTTGGGGGATATTCCTAGGTCAAAGGGAGCTACTTTTTGGCCCCCCTAAAATTTTCAGGGGGGCTCCCCTTGGGGGGCAACAGCCCCCAACTTTTAATTTTCAAATGGGAAGACCCCCTTTGTGATAGCTCGTTCGAAAGAGCATAAAAAAAGAAAACTTTTCGCGCAAACCCGAAGTCAATATCTCAAACCGTTTCAAAATGGCGGCCGGTTAACGTTCAAAATGGCCGAAAATTCACACCGGTTATTTGTCGATGGATTTGCGCGTAAATCGGTATATAGGGGTATTTTGACACGAGAAAAACGAATTTGACGTTAGATTTTCAAAAAAAACCGAAATTTCCAAAATGGCCGCCGGTTAAAGTTCAAAATGACCAAAAATTGATTTTTTTAGAAATCTAAGTTCAAATTTGTTTATCTCATGCCAAAATACTCTCAAATTCCAAGTTTTAGGCAAATCCATCAGCAAATAACCGAGGTGACAATTTTCGGCCATTTTAAACTTTAACCGGCGGTCATTTTGGAAATTTCGGTTTTTTTTGAAAATCTAACGTCAAATTCGTTTTTTTCGTGTCAAAATACCCCTACATACCGATTTTCGCGCAAATCCATCGACAAATAACCGGTGTGAATTTTCGGCCATTTTGAACTTTAACCGGCCGCCATTTTGAAACGGTTTGAGATATTGACTTCGGGTTTGCGCGAAAAGTTTTCTTTTTTTATGCTCTTTCGAACAAGCTATCACAAAGGGGGTCTTCCCATTTGAAAATTAAAAGTTGGGGGCCGTTGCCCCCCAAGGGGGGCCCCCCTGAAAATTTTAGGGGGGGCATAAAGTAGCTCCCTTTGACCTAGGAATATCCCCCAAGTTTCAAATCTTTACCTCAATTAGGTAAAAAGTTAGAGGGGGTGGAAGGGACTTTTGGATCACCCTGTATAAAATTAATGCAGTTTGTTAAGTTTTAGTTTTAAGCCACGTAGATAGATACAAGAAACACTTGTAGTAGTTACGATATATTTAAATAAAATTTCTTTTTAAAAAAAAAAAAAAAAAAAAAAAAAAAAAAAAGATGGAAACATGGGTGGAACTAAGAATTGTTGAGGAGGGCAGACAGGCCCCAGGCCCCTCATCGAGGGGGGTCTGGGGGCACCAAAACACTCCTCATTAGGGGTCTTCAAAAGAAGGTTTGGGAGATTCTCCTAGCGTCAGAGGAGTCCGAGGGGCCTCCGTCGGAAGATTTTTAGGAATTAAGTCGTCTCAAGAGCAATTTTGAACTATTTTCCACGACTTCCAAGATGGAATATAATGACATGCCCTTACTTAGCAAAATCCCTTACATTTCTTGGGAGGGGCCAAGTAGATTTTTGAGGGGAAGGGCGAGCCCCCCGCTCTTCCGCTAATTACGCTCATGGATTAAATCATCCAATAGTGATGTGATATCCAATGACGTAGTCAGTGAATCAGTCAATTGCGCACCTTCAGGGCGAAATGATTGCGTGAGAAAACGAAAATCGAGGCATTGAACACATTCTGCTAAACACCTGAAGCCGCTTTACATTCTTGGCAAAAAAACGAAAAAATTGCGTTCCTATTTTAAAAATGAAGGTCAATTATAATGACGGATCTTAAAACCTAGCAGGCCCGCAGAATTATGAGCTTGCACCGCTAAAGGATGCCTGTGTTCTACGGCACGTCAGACGATGTCATGTCGGTAGCACTAATGCCACAGATGATGGTGGTGGTGGTCTACCTTTTCGACCGTCGCACAGTGGATCGAGTCAATAGGAGAGGTCAGACAAAATTTGGAAGCTTTAAACTCTAATAACTCCGTTTATACAAAACTATGAGGTTCTACAAGAGGTTCTTGTGGTTTCCTCGTGAAATTGTCTTCTAGAAGCACCCCTTAAAATTTAAAAAGTGACAAAATAAACAAAAATTTGCAGTTTTAGTCAAAAATTTCATGTCCGGCCTCTCCAATAGACTGGATCCACTGTGCGTCACACCCTGTGATTAGTTGCGATAACTACTTAGAAATAAAAATTGGAAGAATGGAGACATCCATTTCAAAAAAAAAGAAGAAGAAGAACCTATCCCCCGGAGCTTATTTTTGCCAAAAATAGCTGATGGCTGAAAAAGATGACTGAAGTCACAACCGTAACGATGGCTCCCTTTCCATAACTTTCCGACTTCAATGAACTACTGGAGTTACGCCAAATGCATAATGGCTATTCGCCGCTCGGACAGGATGTAAACTATTCCTGCGCATTATCAAACTTCGGAAATTTACGAATCTTTCGTACTCTAAGATGAATTCTGGAGATACGGGGATTCGAAAGAGACTAGCATTTCGCGACGGAGAGTAAAGAATTCAAACCCGACACCGGAACAATAAATCTGGGAAAGTAAGAAATAGCGAGGGCATGAATTCGTTATTAATAAATAATTTCGCTTGATCCTGTTTCCTTGACAAATATTTATCAACAGCTCGGATACTTTGCTCGCCGTGATGAATGGTCGGAGTTATTTTTGACTCTGCGAGAAAATATTTTAGCATTATTAGCTCACGCGCTTCAGTGATGACATCGCGTTGTGGGAACGGGTATGACTGCACCGCGCTCAGATGTGCGCGATGAGACGACAACGTGACGTCACGCACGTGATGTGGTGTGTGGCACGTTATCACACGATGAGCATCCGACGCGAAACTCAATCGTTTAGTGGTGAAACCGAAGTAGAGGAAACCATGGTAAGAAATGACACTATAAGGATTACGTAATCCGATCTATGGGCAGCAGTCAAGTAGTTAAATGCGCTAACCTTCTTTTCGGCCAGCCGAAATCAGTATAATACCCTGGAAAAAAGCACATTGGATATAGAGTCTAGACTCTTAAAAGCATCGACAAGAAAGAATTCTCTTGATTTATTCAGATTTAAGCTTAAATCAAGAACCAAGCCTCTTAATTTGAGCGGATTTCCTTTTGATGTAAGCTTAAATCTGATTGAATCAAGAGTATCTTTTCTTGTCAATGTTTTAAAGAGTCTGGACTCTAGATCCAATTTGTATCCATGACTTTCCAGTGTATCCACTGAAGGATCGTCGCTAAGAATATTCACTGGAAATCAGTTTACACCGAGAGACTTCATGAGGAACTTAGTTTCATGTAGAGCAAATGATGTGCATGTGATGAATTATTCATTCCAACTTTGGTCAGGAGGTCAACAGGTCAACAGTGACACCATCACGAAGTGACTGTGTTCGACGGTGAAAACCCCCGGCGTGTCCTGTTTTGCGACGCCGCATTTCTACATAGGAAAAATATTAACAACAATTTTTAAAAATAAACTTGAAATCGGGGAATACTTGACATCGTTCGAATGCTCATGCGGCGTTTATCTTTCGAGGAGCTAACCGGTGCCCAAGTCTCATCAGTGGCAAAACGTAAAAGACCGATTGTCGATAAGTCCCCATTTGAAGCTACGGTGGAGA